ACATCGTGTTGATACATTGTTAATATTAACAATGTGAATTTAATGTTAAATAATGCGTTAGAATATAAATATTATAAATTTAATAATGTCCGTAATTTTACAAATAAATAAAAATTATCCTAACAATTTTAATGTAATTAAGTGTAATGCTACATTATCCTGTGTAATTGTAGTATTTTTTTTGTGTTTTTTAGTGCAATTCTGCGTTTTTTAGTGCAATTCTGCGTTTTTAGTGCAATTCTGCGTTTTTTAGTGCAATTCCACATTTTTTAGTGCAATTCCGCATTTTTTAGTGCAATTCCGCGTTTTTTAATGCAATTCCGCATTTTCTAGCATAATGTTACATAACACGAAATTTTCTAAAAATATGATAATTGTGGTACTTTTTAGTGTAATGCTACATTGTCTAGTGTAATTGTGGTATTTTTTAGTGCAATGCAGCATAATTTAGTATAGTGCTACATTTTTTAGTATAATTTAATATAATGTGGAATTTTCCAAAAAATGTGATAATTGTGATGCTTTTTAGTGTAATTTGGTGAAATGCTACATTTTCCAGTGTAATGCCATATTATTGAGCATTTTCAAAAAAAAAATGTAACATTTTAACATTCTGACGAAAGTGAAACATTTGACCAAAAAAACATAAAATTTGCTAAAAATATGCAACATTTGACAAAAAATATAGAATTTTCATAAAAAAATGCACCATTTGCTAGGAAATCGGAATATTTGACAAAATTTGATTTTAATTGACAATGTTATAACAATTTTATGAAATGTTGTTACAATGATATCACATTGGAGATAAAATGTGGCATTTTCATAAAAATGCACCATTTGCAAGAAAATTGGAACATTTGACAAAAAAAAAGCAAAATTTGATTTTAATTAACAATGTTATAACAATTTTATTAAATGTTATTACATTTGAGGTAAAATGTGAAATTTTCATAAAAATGCACCATTTGCAAGAAAATTGGAACATTTGGCAAAAAAAAAGCAAAATTTGATTTTAATGACAATGTTATAACAATGTTACGAAATGTTACAAAAATGTTACATTTGAGATATAATGTAGCATTTTCAAAAAATTTCATAAGATTTGCTAAATCGGACAATGTTGTAACAATGCTATTCCAAAAAATTGCTCAGCGTAATGCAGCATTTTCCACAATTTCCCACAATTTTCCAGGAAAATGGGGAATTTGCATTTTTTGAATTTTGGACAATGGCGCCCCTTCGACCTGTGCTAGGGTTCGTTATAACAAGAATTGACTGTATAGTAAAACCAAATGAAACAGATCTTAAAGAAAAAGAATTAATTCTACAACCCAAAATATCCACTTCAGAAACATTAACATCTATTATTAAACAAAATATTATCTTTTCTTGATAATCCATCTGATACTTTTTTTATGAAGTTCAATAACAGAAATATATTATATAATAATCTTAAAAATAAATTATTTGTTTCAATAAAAATAGTAAAGTTCAATTGGTATTAAAAACATATGATGGATCGTATGTAACTTAATATTATAATAATTGATAATATAATTTTTTTTTTTGAACATTTATTAGTAATATAATATAAACATTTATATTTTATTAGTAATATAATTTTTTGAACATTTTTATATCAATGTATTTTTTTTTTATATAATAAAGTTCAAAAATCTTTATATCATAAATATTATATAAAAAATCATATGATTTTTGATATATTAAACTTTTTATTGTTTACTTATAGATAAAGCTTCTAATAGTTCAGGCTAAACTAAAGAACCAATCTGAAACTGGCTAAAAAAATCTTTCAGATCCAAAATTCAGTTCAGTTCGGTTCAGGTATTAGAACTGAAAAACTGGCAGTTTGATTCAGTTTAATCCCATTTTTTACAAAAATGTGAAAAATCAAATAGCTGTCTATCTAGTGATCATATAAAGTTGAACCATATATCATTGGATTCCTCTTAACGAGATGCGTCAAATGGTGGTAAGATCACATCTTTAGCATTGATAGATCACAAGTTAATCTATGCTAAATGATTTATAAATAATTGAAAATATCAAGCTATCTATTGGCGCTAGAGATAGGATCTTAGCACCATTTGATGCATCTCAGTGAGGCGAATCCAATGAATATTAATTCGTTCATATACGATTACTAGATGGCAAATAATATCAAGTTTCACATTTTTTTAAAATTTTTGAGCGTTGAAAATTAAAAATTCTGATATATGAATTTATTTCATCAGGAAATTTTGGGGGTGTTATTTTACTAATAAATATGTCGGTTAACACTAAACAGTTGTTCAATATATTGTTCAATGCTGTATACTGTAATGATCGACATAAAGTGTTGTTATATGCAATATAATTAATATAATTACACACATTTTTTATGTTATTTAATACGAGCGTAATTCAATATAATATATTGTGTAATTTAATGCTATCGTTCAATACAAACAACACTAAATGTTGTTTTACTAAAATTTAATATAAAAATACACTAGTTTTTATACCCATTTTCTAACAGTTTACGCATTTTTCATTACAAATTTAGGTTTAATGCTATCATTTAACACAAACAATACCAAATGTTGTTTTACCAAAATTTAGTATAGAAATACACTACCATTTTTTAACACTATTTATTATCACTAGATATAGTTTAATATATTACAGTATTGCTATACTAAATTAACATATATAAATACAGTATGTTATTATATATACAGCTAGTATTTTATATAGATACCTAAAATAAAAATACGTTGACAAAGTATTCATTTTGGCATTTTGTACGTTGAATTTTGATTCCACAGGTATAAAATTATATTCATTTATAAGTTTTAATAATGGACAATCGTACTTATACAAATGACGTTGATCATTATAACAAAAATCATACTATCTAACTAGCACAAGATCAAATGATGAATAATTTTTAATTACAATATTAACCAACATAAGTACCTAAAAAGAAATAAATAGTTAATTTATTTGGCTTAGATATTATATAATATATTCAATAATAAAACAAATAATACTTTTCCAAAACATGTTCCTTCATTGGTATTATAATCTTCAGCTTCTTCAACATTCATATTAATTGAAACATTACTAAATTCTGGTTCATTATAGTACTTGCTAACTGCTCGAACACAATCTCCACTAGCAGTCATATTTGTATAACTATACCAAGAAATAATTGTATTATTAATAATCATCTCCTCGGTTAAATTATCATCTAAATCAAAAAACTCATTTAAAACTATGAGAAATTGGCTTAACGCTAACAAAGCATCAGAAGCAAGACTATTTTTTTCCTTATAACTATCAAAAAATTCGTCAAAATTTTCTAATGCAAATTTTCCCAATAACCCCTTTAACGATGTGAATTTTTGAGATTTTTTTTGTTTAGTTTGATGTATCAAGTATTTTAACGTTGTTTTGTGTTGAACCTATAAAATAATTAATTTTTAAATGACATCAAGAATGAATTTAAAAAATACTATACTAACTGTATTAATAATTTGTCCCATTAGTTCTCGTTTGTTACTTGATCTGTATGGATTTTTGACGTAATCTTTGTGCAAAAACTCGTATGTTTCTGTTGTATAACCATTAATTGCACCAAACTCTTCAATTGAATTAATGATGTGATACACCCAATTGTGTAGTTTGGGCAATTTAAGTTCAGATCGGGAATAGTGTTGGAATAGTTTCACAAATGCTGTTATCCAATCTGTTATTAATTTCTATAATAAATAAAAATCAAATAGTTGAAACAAATGTTTAATTAAAATGATACTTTTTTTAAAAAATTACTTTAAATTCTACCAGTTCCGAATTCGTAAAATATTCTTTTCGGCTAAATAAATACATTTTATTCTACCGATAATAAACATTAACCAATGCATTATCTTGTTTTTTAGCGTTCTGTTCTTTGCTGTACTTTATTATTAACCCTTCAATTACGAAAAGAAATACTTTTATCATATTATAGTATTCATTTACCGTAAGGCGCTTAATATTTTCTAATCCATGTTTGAAAATTTTAAGCCCTAGAAATCTAGGAATAGTGGCTAAGCATTTGTCAAGTTCATCAACTGCCACTTGTCCACATAGATTTTTCAACATTTCTTGTGTATAAATTACTTGATATTTATACAATCCTAGATCGAGATGATGCATCCTATCTGGGTATGTTGCTAAATATATATCAAGTTGACTAAAGAATAATATATAAATAATATAAGGTGGCTAATTCAGTTTTTATTATTATTTAATTAATATATTGTATTAATTTTATCTGTTATAATAAAATTGACTTACGGATATTTCCAAAAAATATTATTCATGTCATATATCGAATATTGATAAGCGAGGCGTTGATTTACAATATTTTTCATGGTTGTTGGCGTTCTTAATTCTATTTCATCATTGCTTAATCTTAAATTATTCAAATCTTCTCTAGAAATTAAACATTTATGGTAAGGATATTTACTGTTAATCGAGTATGTTAACGTTTGTGTAGCATTTTCTGGAAGATCTTCCAACAAGGTAGATATATACGGAAAACACCATATGTCTCCATTATTTGTTTGTAAATCAATGCCCCTATCTTTGTATGACAATAGCGGATGCATCATGACATCAAATGCTTTATGAAACAAAGTCTTTTTTGTTAGCAAAAATCTCCTTGATTTTTTTTCCGAAATTGTTTTTGCTTTTAATATTAGAAGATAACAAAGAAGAACTTTAGCGTCAGGTTTATTATGATGCCAGTTTGGTATATTACCTAAAGTCAAATACACTGGATGCTCAGATAATTTTCCTATTTGGTCACAAGTTGTAGCATCAGAATAAAGAATTATTGATAAAATATTTGCCGCGTTAAGAAGCGTATTTTGTGTCTTTTCTCACCATTTTCCATTGAATTGTTCACTATAAATTCTTTGGCCTCAATTGTATAATGGTGTAAATTTAAAGATACAATGTTCAAAAATATCATTATTACTCAGCAATTCTTTTATAGCATCAAAAATCTGTCGATAGTGAAGGTAGTATGTTTCATTATTATATTTCATTATAGGCACCTTTTTGAAAGAGGTATGTGATTTTGCTAATTGATCCAAAAACTTTCGGCCTTGTTTCACTGAAGTAGGTAAAACTACATCATCACGAGCAATACTTTTTGAAAATTTAAGTATTTCATTACTACAAACATCTGATAGATCCCATTTAACAAGTAAGCTCATAAAATTTCCAAACTCCTTGGACAGAAAGTCTATTTTGTCACTCGTAGTAATATCAATATTTTGGCAACTGGCAGATATTCCACATCAATTAACTCAAATTCTACGTCCTCCTGTAGTAAACGGACAAAAAGCTTGTTAAAAGCTTATTTTATTGATTTTAAATTGTGTTAACTTAATACCTGAATTTTTTCATCTTCATTATCTTCCATTTCTCTTTCATCAACATCATCGTCTTCTAGTACTTCATCTTCTTATACGTCATCATCTACATCTTCTTTTATGTTCGTCACTTCCATGTTTATTTCTTTTCCTACATCTACTTCTACATACAGTCAACTCTTGTTATAATGAACCCTAGGTTCTAGACTTCAACTTCGCTATAAGGCTATAGTGAAGATTTTAAGAGATTTGATTGGTTAATTCGTTATAGCAAGAGGAAATTTGTTATAGTTGTCTAAAAAATTCACTATATCAAGGGTTCGCCATATCAAGGTTTGACTGTACTCTCTTTCTATATATGTTTTCACATTTGTTTCTCTGTCTATATCTATTTCATTATTGTACGCCATTTCTTCCTGTTACTCTTGTTGATTAAAACTTTCTTCTGCGTCTTTTAAACGGTACGTTTCACCATCATATTGCTCTTCATCATTATTTTCGTTTAAGATAATTGTATTATTTCTTTTATTTGCAATTTCTTGCAGATAGCTGTCTATTGTACTGCCGTGAATTTTTATATGATTTCTAAATGCCGTATGACAAGAAAAGTTTCTTGAACAATAAGAACACTTGAATATCATTTTTACGGTAATGTTTTCAAACGAATTTGATAATTCTTAAATTTATTAGTATATTTATGAAATTATTAACAAAGGTAAACAATTTATATACAATTAATTATTTAGAAGTAATTTCAACTTGTGATGACAAACTAAAATAATACAATGGTATTTTATTACTTCAAAGAGGAAATGGGTCTGTTATAATCAAGTGATTTTGAATTTATGATGACATAACGAATTAAGTAAGATATCAAGTGCTAATTTTCAAACTGAAGTGATGTTTGCTTATTTTATTTATTTGTACTAGTTACAAATACTTTTGCTAATATGCTAACAGTTTTTAGAACATGCTGACGGGTGTGGATTTGGAATTTTTAGAAAAATAAAAGAATGCCTATTTTTTTGGCTTTCTCTTTTTTATTAAAATCACCATTTCTTTTACCCTATTTTTTATTAATCAAACTATCATTTAGTAACAATCATGGTTAAAAGTCGACGTTCTAATAATTCTAAGAAAACTACAAAAAATGCTGAAGTTTCCTCTATGGATTTTATTCTACATCGTCCTAAACGAAAAGAAATACAGGTTCTTTATTATATTTGTTAACATTATCGTATTAATTTATTTTTTTCAAAATAATACTAATATAATATTTTTCGTTATTTTATTAGACCTTTGATGATGATCAAAGTATTTAATTTAAATTATTGCTATGTTTGTCTATACATTAATTTTATATTAACACATTTTATTTCCATTGAATTAGCTAACGAGGATGATAATGTAACTAAATCTCCTGCAGGCTCACCTTCATCATCATTGGAGTCTTCAAAACAAACAAAAAAGCTTTATCTTGATTTTGATGATGCAATTATGCCAGATTTAGTCCCACGAATTGTAATTGAAGATAATGAAAGGAATTCGTCTGCAGAAAAAACAATTCTTCATGAATCTGCTATTTCTCCAGAAGTAATTTCAAGATCAAGCGTTAGTAAATTGTGGTTTCATTCTAATTTGATTAATTCATTGAAATATTTTAACTATAATATTACGCAGGTTTACAGTCTCGTAAATTTTCAAAATATTTCAACTGTAATATTACGCAGATTTACAGTCTCGTAAATTTTCAAAATATTTCAACTGTAATATTATGCAGGTTTACAGTCTTGTAAATTTTCAAAATATTTTAACTGTAATATTACGCAGGTTTATAGTAGGACCCCGGAAAATGCTTATATATGTAAGGTACCAAGGTGCTTAGCCAACATAGTAAAGTTTTATGATGTAAAAATTTTATAATGCTTAATTTTAAGAAAATTTTATACTATGTAAGATAATTAAATTGCATATTTTTGGTATTATTTTAAAATACTAAAAATTTTTAGTTGCTTATTTTTCATATTTATATAACTTTTTAAAATATTATATATTGAATTTATAATTAATTTTTATTTTATTTTCACTAACGGTGAGTGTTAATTTTGTACTACATTTCACAATTTTATATAAATACATAAACAAAAATTTTTTTTTGATGAAATTTCATTTTTTTTTTTCAATGTTTTATTAATTATCTGTCAATAGTAGAGTTTCGAACCAGATTTATTTTTTAAATCTGAATTAGATACGAATAAATCCGGTTTCCTTTGGTTCAATCTGGATATAATAAATCCAGTTTCCTTCAGTTAATCTGGATATAATAAATCCGGTTTCCTTCAGTTAATCCGAATATAATAAATCTGGTTTAATTTCAGCCAGTATTATTTATTAAATTTTAAATAAAACAAATAATTTACGCAGGGGCATTGCAAAGCACTCCTATTACGTCATTTACATGGTAAGTTTTGATTAGTTATTTGTTTAATAATATTTCTTTTGCAACGTTTCTAACAAACTGAAACTTTTTTTTCTCACCATTAGACAAGAATCCAGGCTGCTAAGTGGGGAAGGGAGGATTGGACACAAGCCCTTTAGACGCGAACCATGGGAAGGAGTTAGAGAAGGGAAATTTCTTACAGTCGTTTTTGTCAATAAATTTCATTTTTGACATAATTCAGTTTTTATATAATGTAACAGTTCTGTTCATATTGATTTTTACAATCGTAATGTTAGTAAATTTTACAATTTTTTTTTGTTAATAACATGCATTTTTCTTTATTTAATTAATAAACCTAAAACAAATACATAATAGCAACGTTCTAAGACATATATTCACTAACTAAATCATAGTTAAAACTGAATCCAACTAAGCTACTGATAATTGACTTGATTATTAATTCTATAATTAAAGAAAAACTTATTTCCCCTCTTTGTTTATGCTATAAAACCTTCCAAAAAAAGCTATAAAGAAGAAATAACTAAAACTATATTAAAAAAATTATTACAAGAAATAAATAAAATCAAAAAAAAAAAATTAATAAAAATGAGAAGGGAGTAAAAAAAGATGGTAGTGAATGAAAGAAAGTAAAAATAAGCAAAGAAAATGCAAAGAACAAAAAAAAAGTAAAAAGGAGATAAAAAAAGTAATAGGTAATAAAAAAAAAGTAAAAATGGAGCATAAAAATGAAAAAAGTATAATAATAGGAAGACAAAAAGAGTGAATAAAATAATTAAAAACAAATAATAATTGACTGACACCACCCATTAAAATAAAGAGAAAAAGAAAAAAAACTGGTTAATATCTTTTAAATAAAGGAAAGCAATAGAAAACAAGAAAGACAGAGTAGCAGACATACCTTAAATAAAAATCTTACCCTAAATTGTTTTAAAAAATGTCAAGTTACAAAAAGCAAAAAATAAAAAAAAGAAGCCTTACCATTTTTACCCAATCAATAAATGGAATAAATATCAAAAAATATCAAATTTGCAGGATAAGTAATTCGGGCAGAAGTTTCATACGCAGCCATACGCTGATACGTAATTGATCATCATAATTCTGGCCAAATTATAAATTTGACCAGAATTATAATTTCCATTTTAGGAAATTGATGTTACACAAATTCGAAAAAGGAAATTTTCATTTTTTAGAAAAATCAAAATTTGTAGAATGGCTATCGCCAAAAAAGGATATGATAGGCATAGCCGTAGTTATAATTCTGGCCAAAATTATAATTTGGCCGGAATTACTGCCGATCAATAATAAAACTGAATAAAACCGAATATAATAAATCTGAATGAAACGAATAAAACCAGATATAATAAATCTGGATGAAACCGAAGCAACCAAATCTCTCCGGGTTTAAATCTGAACCGGGTGAATCTGGATTTAAATCCGAATGTCGAAGGTCAGATCCAAACTCTAGTCAATAGTATCTTTTTAATTTTTATTAAACTCAGTGTATTATTTTTAATATAAAATTACTATATTATACATGTTTATTTTGTTAAATAATCTGAACGATATAAATGATCCTAACACGTGGACACAGTACAAACTCCAGGTCCCCATATATGCGTACATGGATGATACGATATTTCTAGAATTGTCAAAGTATAGGATGCAAAAGATAGTGGATATAGCGAATGAGTTTTACTTGATTAATGACATTAATATCAACGCCAAAAAGTCAGAGCTGATAATTATCACATATGTGCCAATTTTTGGA